TTCTAGTTTCATTTTAGAGAAGAAAATCAGGACATCTGAGTCATCTCTTGCATGCTGGTAACTTTATAACTAATTCATTGAATCCTTCAGAAATATGCTGGAAGTCATTTAAAATACATTTGTAACTTTTCTAACAGAATACTGAGAAAAACTATCAGTGGGACACTTTTTGGCAGTTTTCATTGATAAACTTCAGAAATATATCAGTTAGATACATTAAAACAGGTTAAATCGTATCTGATTAATGCACATATGTAAATCATACTCTGTAYCCAATTATCAATTATACTCGTACAAAATTCTTATACAAGAGGAAATTAAAGAATTCCAAGTTACTGAAAAATATTTCAAATGAAAGGGAAAGCATTACACACATACAAAAATTGGGGTAGCAAGAAACCCARTTGAGATTCAGCAAAATAGAAAAAATATTTTCTTTAAATATCTGGTTTCCCCACACAATTATACAACAATTATTTTCTGTATATGAACTTTTAACTGAAAAAGAAAACAAAAAACAAAACAAAAAAAAAGTTTAAAAAAAACAAAACAACACAATTGTCAAGCTCTATTTTGGCTCTTCAGCAAGGAGGGATTTTTTCTTAAGACAGGAGAATGTCTGCTTGCATGAGAAAATGGTACTGCCTGGTGGGAATTAGTTTTAGTGGGAAAGTGAGATAACAGAAGAAAAAAAATGCCTGTAGAGGCCTCTGTGCATCCGAGGTATCCAGAACTACARATGCTTTCAGACCCTGATCTTTTATCACTGTTGTTCACTCTCCAAGCAGCTTATTCTTGCTAGTTTGAGTTCGGTAAATGAAACAAGTGGTTACATGGTTGTATTTGGGAAAAGTTGTATAGAAGCKTGGCAGGTTTGCAGAGATTTCAGGAATTCCTAATTAGAAAAACAGAAAAAACTTATATCCCATGACGCTGCAAGCCTCAACCCTCACTGAGGTCGGTACAATTCAACTTCCCTGAATCTGTCAGATCTCCTGGACTTTCCAGGAGAATCATCCTGAGTGATTCCTGCCTCTTTTTTCTCATGGCACTGTTTGGAATAAGCTTCTCTAGGGTGAAACCAACAAAAATCATTGAAACAGTAATATATTGTGATTACTGCAAAGAGATAGGGCATTTACTAATGTGCACTGGTGCTAATGCAGAACCCTTTGGTTCACAAAGGGCTGTCTTCTTTGTAAGCACTGCTGTCCTCCTGCTGTGTCTTATTACAAAGAATCATGTATTCTTTTTCTGGCAGCTTTTATAAAGCTTTCTGTTGCCATGTTCTGTCATCAGCTGTTCTCAGCCACAAAATGCTACGTACTATGCAGTTAACCCCAGAAAAATTGTTATCTACTGTATTAAACATAGGCACAAAACCATCAGAACTCAAAATTTTTTTTACCAATAAGCTGAAATAAAAWTGCAGACGTAATTTGAAGATGTCTCGTATGCTAATCTAAGAGATCTGAGTCTCTGAGACCTCCAAAGTTCAAGATTTGTCTAATCTAGCAATACTTTTCCTGACCACTAAAAATACCAACACATCTTTGGAATGTGAGCAAAGATGTTGTGTGAAATATTTTCCTTTGTTTTTCTTTCTCCTTGATGAATATCAAAATCTACTTTAATGCACTAATTTTTACTAACAAGCTTTACAAATACCAGYAGAATTTACAAAAGCAGCACAGTGATCGGCAGTAAAGCCCTTACAGATGTATTTCTGCGTCCACGAAGGAAGCAGCTGCTTGTTGAATTTAGGATAATGAAATCTTCCTTGACATACAGACTATGAACAACAACATATTGGCTTGCCCAACTTGAATCAACAATTCTTGTTAGTTTTCATAGCTTCAAGGCTTATCAGACTATTTCTCTGCATTTCCCTGAACAAAGTTTGAGCCACAGATGTTGGAAAGAAAACAGACGGCAAATACACCGGAGAGTATAATAAATCCCCAGATTCCACTGTAGACTTTGTCTATGTCCACTAAAACTGTATTCAAACAGTGAACAAAGTAAATATCAAGCAGAGTTTGTCCAAAAATAGCTCTAAATGCTGTCAGCAGAGGAGGTGTTAATGATAGATTCATCATCCCCTTCTTGGCTTCCACAGGTCTACAAGAGGATTCAACTCTTTAAGTGTTTTCTCACTAAGGGAAACTTTTTCCTAAGCTGGGTGACCTTCAATACTGAGCAACAGCAACTGCTCTGAGAATATCCTTGCACATGAGGGGCCATGGCTTGAAGGGTATACACAAGTTAAAAGCACAGAACAATTTATACCTGAGATTTAACTGCACAGCAGCTTTGTGTCTAATAGGCTCCTTCCATGCTTATTCTGATCCCAGATATTTTGGGGATAGAAATTTACAAGGTCTGTCTCACATGTTGGATTCTCAAGATTTTATCTCATTGTCATTCTTAATCCATCCAAGTTGGACCTGAGCCATGAATGGTGTCTAATCTTACCAGAACCAGATTTCACATCTGCTTTTGTTTTGCTTTCTGGAGTTGACTTTTTTTTTTTTAACTGGTTCAGTATGTGATAACTGCTTCTAAAAACCTTCTCAAACACACACATATGATTTTTTAAAATCATCTGGGGATAAATTCAGGGATGGAAGAAAGCTAGATTTTGTGAAGTTTTACTTACATATGTAATTATAAATAATGCATAATTATATTTCCCATGCAACTTGGAAATTTATTTGTGCTTTTAACCAGTAAAGTTTTTGATTATTGCACTCTTTGTAAGCAAAAATAGCTGCCTCTAGAGAAATTATATTATACCCACAGAGCCCAGTTTTGATTTTTATGTTTMGTTCCTCCTGAATCATTTTCACTTCATYTGGCAGATGCATAACAAATACTCAGTTCCTGCAAGCCAGTTTATCCCTTTCTTTTTCAAGGAATACATTTTTAATCCCTAGTCTGCACTTTGTAAAATATATTTAGTCCATCATGATTCTTCTCAAGGTATKGCAAATGCTAAAATAGAGATGACAATGGGTCCTATTCATTTGTGCTTCATCTCTGATAAGAGACTTAAATGTTTCGAATTTTCCATGGTAACTAGAATGGCTAAAAGTTCTTTTGACAATAACATGATGGAATCCAGTTTTAGTCGTTTAGGAATCAATCTATTACTTTACCAAAATTACTCCAAAGATTTCCATTCTTCAATTTATTATGCCAAGTGAGAAGACCCAGCGTTCTACTCAAGGGGTTGTTAACAGCCCTGACTTCAGAAAGGAAAATAATCTTCTGGCTTGGGTGCAAAGTAAAAATGCCCATTTCCAAGGAGCGTGTCGGACACTTTCCAGTGTTTACAGCTTTGGTAGGGAAGGATCGAGAGAAAGGAGAGGGGGATGAAGACTTATAACCATACATAAATATATATTTGGGCAAAATTTGCATAGTTTTGCTGTTGCTTTGATCACTATCAAATGCTTGAAGTTGGTTGCTTGATCAAATTCATATGAAGCATTTTAAATTTCCTTATACAGTTCATTATTTGCTGGATTGGACTGTTGTGAGGATGGCGTTATTGCAATTGTAATTGCAATTGCAATTACTCATTGCAAGCATATTTAAGGTCCTTTTTGCCATCTGATAGCTCTGTSTGTTTATGCAGGGTGGCAGTTGATWTTTTTTCTTTTTTAAAYGTACAAAATTTCCATACTTTTGGTCAAGAACTATGACTTAGAGAAAAAATATTAGGCTATACTCCAGTGTCAAGGGTAATCACAGATCGATTGACATGTGACATTATCCATAACCTCTCTGGATGGAGTTACCTTTTCATGAGTAAATGCAAAAAAGGAAAATAAGTGGGACTGGAAAAATTACTATTTTCAAGGGAGGAAAATGTGGATACAATTTATCTGCTTCAGAATAGCATTCTATTCCTTTTGGCAYGGTAAACCTAATTAAATAGTTACACTTTAAAATCTTTATGAGAATCTTAATTATTAATGACATCAACAGGCTGAAAAAAAATGTAGGTTAGGTGTGGGGAGAATTTGGCTCTGCAATGACATTACTTAAAAGMAATTTTTTTTGCATGACTGAGCACATGTGCACACAGACTAGATAGTCACACTTTACAATGAGGCTACAGTTATAAATTATTTATAAAGTGTTGGTAAACACTGCAGGCTATTACAGAATCCACAGAGTCCGTAGTTTTGTTATAGCTACATGYAACACCCTCAAATAATGTGCAACCACGTATAATTTATGAAAGTAATATCCGTAGTATTGTTTATGATGTACATTAATAATTCATTAATCCTTTATGAACTATTTATAAATGCAATCCTAATGGAAAGCATGGCTGACTAGTTACTCCATCGCACTACTGTGTGGGAGTTAAAGGTTGCACGCCTCTGCCCTCCTTTTTAACTAGCCAAGCAGTCTTTAGACAAGGCAACACKCACTATTTCCTTCCAGGCTCCTAGGAAATTAGAAATCTGAGAGAGGCATTGTAATRAGATTTGCCTGTGAGCAAATGCACAGGATCCTTTTCTTAAACTTCTCCAATATTTCAGTAGAGCTGCTGTAGGTCTCCTTCACTGGCTCCATGAGATAAAACTCCTTGCAGATGACATGTGTATATTAAAGTCTATGAAATCTTGACTCTGGGGGTTTCTTTTATAGTTTGGGGCATCAGACCAACAAAATATGGGCCATAAATCCTTATGGAATCCACTGGAAAATGGGCAATCAACAGAAATGAGTGCAATAGTCTAGGCTGCCATAATATCTAGGAAGAGATCCTGGCTTGCAGGGTTATTTTTCTGCTCCAAAGCATTTCTGCCTGACAAGGTACAGCTACTTCTGCTTGCAGCAGGCAAGCTCCACTAACTTTCATGTGACAGTGCAGTTTTATTGCTGCTCTTTGCTTCTTTATGCATGCTGTGAAATCTCTCGCTGAGGCATTGGATACCGGAGTACCATCCACACGCATTAATTCTTTGCTTGTTCTTTTGCAGGAAACAGATCTCATTCTGACCTTTAACATCTCAATGCACCGCTCTTGGTGGATGGAGAATGGGCCAGGCTGCACCGTGACCTCAGTAACCCCAGCCCCGGACTGGGCACCAGAGGATCATCGTTATATCACTGTCTCGGGGTGTTTTCTTGAATATCAGTACATAGAAGTGGCTCACAGTTCTCTTCAGATCTTCCTTGCAGTAAGTGTTTACAAATAACTTCAATTCCACCACCTTTTCTGAATTTCTTGTCATTACTGGAATAGTGGATGATTGTGGCATTCATTCACGAACCCTGGCTTCATGTCTTAGTTATGAAATCCAGTTGCCATTCAGCCAGTTCAAGATACCTGCATGCAAAAATTCCAACACACAAATTTTTTATTGCTCTAAGAACTACTGGCATGGCACATTCTCTTTTCCTGATACTCTAATATATAAGTGGTGACACAATAGCAAGTTACAGCTATTGTTGTAAAAGCCAAATTAAACATGAAATTGAATACAAAAGAAAAAACAGCAGTAAAAATAGATTCACTGATCAGCTCACAAAGACTCAAATCTCATCAATTTGTCTTTAACCATATTAATCAATAGACACTAGAGYACAATGGGAGAAGTTTTCCCTCCCCCCCAAAATAGTAACATGAAAATCAAAAACAGAGGTCTTAAATCTTTTTTAGGCRTATAARAATCCACTGTTGCACTGCAGAAAATTTATAAGGGATAAAAACTCTGGGGGAAACAATATATAATGGAGCTCACAGCAATACAAAAAGTGAGCAGCTTTTCCACCTATCTAATCCAATTCATTTTTTATCACTCAAGCTTAACTCATGGAATTATAGCTTCATAGAACAATTTTGGTTGGAAAAGACCTCTAAGATGAAGTCCAACCCTTAATCCGGCATTTCTGAGTCCAGCACTAACCCCTGTACCAAAGGGCCRCATCTACACATTTTTTAAAWACCTCCAGGAWAGGTGGCTCCACCATTRTCCTGRGCATCCYATTCCAATGCTTGACTAAGTTTTTGGTGAAGAATTTTTTCCTAATATCCAACACAGAGTTTCCCTGGTGGAAGCTTGATTTCCCTTGATACAGGCCAAGATGMRRTCAGCCTTCTTGKCCAYGTRGGCATAGCTGGCTCSTGTTCAGCTGCTCTTGACCAGCACCYCCARRTCCKYTTCCAACARGCAGCATTCCAGCCACTCTGCCCCAGTCTGTGGCACTGCCTTCAATTGTGGCCCAAGGGCAGGACTTGACCTTGTTGAACCTAATACAACTGGCCTTGGCCCATCAATCCAGCCTGCCCAGATCTCTCYGCAGAGCCCTCCTACCCTCAAGCTTTCACAAAGAGATAACCACACTATTTTTTTCTGCCTTTTTAACTTTAATGAATGATGAGCAAGAAACCCAAGGAATATGCAGTTCAAGCTCAATTCTGTTCCTGATGCAACGAAGTTTTTTTCTGTGTCTGTGTTGAAATAGAGCTGTGTTTCTAGATAAACTCATCCTTTTYAAGTCGGAGTAATGGTTGAAAATAACAAGCCTTTAGTAATCTGCTAGCTGTAGCTAACTACAYCTGTGTTGTATTTCCATTCATGTTACTCTAAATGTGATTATCACAGGTAAAGAGCTGCACAGTATAAGTAGGGATCAATTTTCCAGACCTAGTGTTTGACTACTGTTCACACCATTTACACATTTCCTGTTGTGGGCATGGGGTACTTTTTCTAATAGAAATACTAGTGTAAATTCACTGTCTGAKTAAATGTGATTAAATGGGAGACAGAGGAATTAACTGGTACAGCTCAGTGACACATAACACAAAGGAAGAAGAGCAGATACTGCTTGGTTTTCAGCAAACTAGCTTTAACAAACCCATGCATTAGATCAGATTTATCTCCAGTTAGTAGAAAGAAATTAATCTTTCCCTTCAATTTTCCTTTACAAGCACCTAAACATATCTTGTACTTTAKCTACAAAACTATAAATAGCAACCTACAAATTGGTTGCTTGTTTTGTTTCTGTGTTTCTGTATGTTCATGACAATGATCAAGCTAATGCTTTTCTTGGCTTTTTCAAGGACTGGTGGCATTACAGCCTYTTTGTAAGGATGCCTTCTAGTGCCTACAGATAAAAAATAGACATACAGCTTCATTGAGGACTCTTTTATCAGCCTTTGGAAACATTATACTGAGTGTATTTTGTACAGCTTGCCAGCAAGCTCACAAGGAATGGAACTACCAAAAGTTAGGCTCACATAGATGCGATATTAGTTGTGGAAAGTGGAAAGAATAAGATAGCCAAGATAAAAACTATAAAAGTATGACAAAACTACAAGCCACTCCCTTCTCCCCTAGGTTTATACTTTCTAAAAGCAATCCCATGATGGGCTGTGGAATATTTCAATGATTGCAGACAGATATTCTGCTGATGAGGCACAAAATAGGCAGATTCTCCAAGAGAACTTTTCTCCATGGGGKAATGTATCCTAGAAGCAAACAGCACCAGATTGTGCACCATACAAATGCTGTTGCTAATTTTGGGCAAGTCAACRCAGACTTTAGATATTCAAGAGTGAAATTATGAAGAATTTTTACTTTTCCTACTACTTAAACAAAATAGCAGTTAAAACAACCAGAAGGTTACATAATCCCAAAAGCCAGGGGAGATCCCGYTGTGAATGATTGTGGCGTTTGTTGCATAATACCAGCCTTAGAACAGAAAAGAGAAATAGATGTGATGATGCACAGATAATTTTCCAGTTTCTCCCRAGGAGTATATTTTGCTCAGGATTAATAACTGGACAAAATTGCTAGTTTAGCTCTCACTGAAATAATAGAAGATCCAGTTTGGTGGTGTCCATACTTTGACCAGTTGAATGTTCACAGCTTAGAAAAACTTCAAAAAGGGCAAAAATTATTTGAGAACAGATGCTTGGGAAAAAAATGCTCTGATAAATAAAGGATTTCCTCAATTTGAATAYTTAGCATGTTTGTATGCAAAGCAGGGCTGGAATAAACCAGAGTGATAACAAAGACAGAATAGCAGCCACCACCATTCCTTGATCCTATGCCACAGAGCACTTCATTGGGTGAGGCTGGTGGAAGGCTAAAGCCTTTGCAGAGCCTATGAGTAAACCAATCCTTGTATCACAGCCTTTGCAGAGCCTATGAGTAAACCAATCCTTGTACCACATAATGTACATTTATGTCTGTCCTCTATCCATTCCCATGTCAGCACATTGCCTCTTGCTGGGTCGCTGTCTGATTTCTTTTCATGTTTATGGAAATCTATTTTGAAAATCTTACACTGATGTTTTACTCAGTTTTTGTGGTAGTTGCTTCTCTGAAGTGGTACACTACCAAAATCTCAGTGCCACACACCATGTTAAGTCAGTTTTTACTCTATTCTCCATATCCATACCTCCCACTTATCTCTTTTGAGACCAAGCCTCATTGCTATCACTTTATCTCTACATCTTAGTATCTTCCAGCAAGTTAAAAAGAGAGAGGAGTTTGGAGTGAAAAAAAGAGAACACCAGGGAGGGGAATTTCCTTCATTCATAAGTTCAGCTTTGCAGGCTCACAGTGCTGCAAAATAAAAAAAAAAAAAAACAACCAAACCAACAAACTACATTTGTGAGCGTGGCCTGCAGGATGCAGCAGTGTGGAACTGAACAGAATTCCTAAGTATGGGATTTATTCTGCTTTCTTTGAAATCTTGGATCTGGAGTACATCTAAATATGTCAAAAGAGGGTGCCAAATGGATGGTGCCTGACTGCTTTCAGTGGTGTCCAGCAACAGGACGAGGACCAATGGCCATAAACTGAAACACAGGCAGTTCCACCTCAACACTGAGAAAGAACTTCACACTGCGGGTGACAGAGCAGTGGAAAAGACTGCTCAGGAAGGTCACAGATTCTTCCTCTCTGGGGATGTGCAAAACCCACCTGGACACATTCCTACATCACCCCCTGCATTGGCAGGGGGGTCAACTAGATGTTCTCCAGAGCTCCCCTTGTACCCTAATGATTCTGTGAATCCATGATTCTGTATTTCCATGGAACAACTCCCTCATTTCCTGCCTTCCCCAATTGTTGATCAGTRCCACAGCTGAATCTGAAAAGGTGAGATCTTAGCTTCATCACACTTGGACAGAAACAGCTATTTAAAGGTTTGCTGATACATGCAGAAAAAAAGCATCATTTTCGCCACAGCTAATTCAATATTTTTGTTGAATAAAACTAACCCTTAATGTAGCCTGTGTTCACATCCTTGGTAAAACTCTCCACTTGATGCWTCTCTCCCTGGGAAACCTCATCTGCAGAGCTACAATGTCTTGAGCATCTGGCCCATCCAATATGCTCKGCAAGGACCACAACTCTGTCTTTGTGTCTACAAATTACCAAAATGAACTGATCTAGTGATGGCATGACTCATATTCCCATACTCTTCAGACAATAAAGTGTCCTCACTCATTTAAGGTTATTGATTCTTGTTGCTTGCATTAGAGAAGCTATTTCATTTCCAKCCCTACTGGGTTATCAGGGATAGATATACTTAAATGACTGATCTCTGGGGACAACTGTTCCAGGTAAAGAATGAGGTCAGTGRTACTAATGGGGATTTGATTTGCAGCTATTTGAGCTGCTCTCCTCATAGTATTTACAGAATGGAGGCTGAAGGGAAGTTGCCACCTCTAAGCAATAGGAGGTAAAGGTGCCACTTCACCCTGGGGAGGGCTGGGGAGGGACACAGTGCAGGTCATGCAGCACTGCTGATCTTGGTGTGTAGTGTCAGGGCTTGAGGGAGTTGTTGGCTCTGTGTATAAATAACATTTGCATCCCAGCCTTTTGGTCACACAGCTGAAAGGSACAGAAGATGGCAGTTCCTCAAGCACCCCCACACATCAGTGTCTAATTCTAGCTACAGAGCCTATCACAATTCTCTTCATTTCCACTTTTTATCGAGTCTTGTCTCACAAGAGAATGTGAAAATCTTTTCATTCCAGGCCCTGAGCTGTGGCACAGGTCAGAGGGYTCTGCTTCCAGGTCTATCACAATTTTCTTTTACAGGCATTTCATCTCTCAGTGCCTCTTCCCAAGTGCCTTTCCCTCTGAAGAGAGAGGAAATCATGCCTACGTTTTTCATGTTCAGTTCATAAGACTCTGAACCATTTGCATAGATAGAGATC